TTGTCAATCCGATCATTCTTACACAAGCTACCACTGCTAAATCCTAGCTGACTAAATTGTATTTTAGTTTAATATAGTTTGAAACCTAGTAATTTCCATCGAAGTTTACAACAAGGCCTATTCTGAATCAACAAAGGTGAGAATCTAAAACTCAGAGAAGGACACAGAATTAATACAGATGGAAATTAATCTCGGAACTGAATTGCCGGGAGTACAGAATCATCAATATGGGAAATCTAAAATGGGCACAGGGCATCCCAATATCGGAGGAGTACAACTTAGACGTATAAGGCCAAAGATTGCGATAAAAGCCACGATCAGTTGAAGGCGTGACGACGCTGCCTTTGGTTTGGATAATAAATTAAGTGAGAACCTTTTTCACCTTACAGGGTGTTTATTAACGGCTCAAGATTCAGGAATCCAAGCATATAAAAGCAGGGACTCGAACCAAATAAATCATAGCTATTCACTTAAAACTTAAAGCACTTTAAGCAACTCTAACATCGGAGAACAATAACTTATCAGGTACATTTTATCTCTACTCCGAAACATGGCGAGCTTTGATTTGAAACCGAAGGTTAAATTCCAGATAGTGGGACCAATAGAAAGCCCAATTGGACATGGTTCTGACGAAGCAGGGTCGCCTACAACTGATCGAAGCCGCTATACCGCGCGATGATTTCTATGAAACTCACAACGCAAAACGTTTACTCAGCGCTGCGTCCGAGTCTTATCATATCACCTTTCGACGACTTCAACAGGAGCTACTCCACATTATGAAAGAGTTCTACACGTTTTTCAAGGCACTGGAAACCAAATTCACGATAAACACCCAGGGCGGAATCGGCCGTTTGAGAAAGGAACTTTGGGCAAACATAGAAGAGTAACAAAACTTTGAAAGCTTTTATCGGGGATATTAATTTGAAGAAAATTGATTTGGAGAAACGCGAGGTCTCACCATCTGAGATTGACTTGAAGACTGTCTTGAAGAAGGGTCTGAATGAACGTTTTAAAGCACCAGGACTCACCTTAAAACAGTCGATACTGATGTCATGAGCTACGAGGAGCTCTGTGAGTACCTTCGAAAATTCGATATGGAAGAAATTCAAACGTCAATCATTAATACCGAATCTCGAGGAGGGGAAAGTGCACTTTTAGCTACAGCAGAACGAAAGTGTTTTAATTGCAATAAGCCTGGTCACCTTGCTCGCGATTGCCGATCCAAGCATCGCAGACCCAGACCAAATCAGAATTACGACAACTGTTCTGACCGATTTACTTAAACCCTAAGCCCTAAAACCCTAAACCCTAAACCATACGAAAACCGATACTCCGACAATCGTGGAAAATATGCCGACGAACGACATCACTGGAATAGAACTGATGAGTCCAAGACTTACCGCAGTGACAATTCGACACCGTAGTCTACACCTTACTCACGACGCTCCAGCTATCCGTCGAAGAACCCTCACCACAACAAGGATAAACGTAGTGAGTTTTACAGAAAAGCATCTAACGTAAGGGAATACTACCCGAAGGAGAAAATACTTAACCCCCCTAAAGTAACACTTAATATGGGAAAGAGTGATGAGGTGGCATCGAGTAATGCCTATGAAGGCGTTACATCATTCTCAGCAGTTGTCGATTATTCGAATCCGACATCGACCTGTCGGATGATGGTATGCCAGAAGCTACCATGGTAACCCCCGAAAATTGCCCTGGATTAATGAAGCCAAGTACCAAGCCGGATGAGGGATAACTATCGGATTTTATTCTAAATAATCCTATTTGTAGTTCTGACGAAGACGATGAACCACCGGGACTCCTACTCGACAGCTCAGAGAGGATGCCGATGATGACCTACCCGAACGTACGTACGACAGCAACTCTGAAGTTGAAGAAGCTTTTAGTGATAAATAATAGGATAAAGATGTCATCTCTTCACCTATCAAAGCTATAGACTCCGAGAAGGTTTTTAGCCAAAGATTTGTGGCATCTTCCGATTGTCGGCCACGATCAAATTGGGATCGGGACAGGAAAGTAGGGTCAAGGATCTTATAAAATGGGCAATTAGAACCCAAAATTCTTAATGTAAGCGCTAACTGTATAACCACAGAGGCATGTCCTATTGCCTGTGCGTGGTTGTACCGTACTTTGTGCCCGCCTTACCAGCCACACGAATGACAAAAACAATTTTATTGATAAAATAACAAGAAGAAATGCCATAATTTGTAGACAGTGCAGGAACATGAAAACAAATTGTCTCCAAATACTATGCTCCCGCAATATACTTCATATGCGTCGTTGCATTCGTCAGTATCTAAATTGCATACCACCTAACAGTGCTGAACAAATGCATGGTGATACGATATTTTTATGATGCATTCGGGTGCAGCAAGATGCATCATCACATACGAAGGCGACGAGGCTGAAAGCACTGTGTTTTCATCCTATATTTATGTATATTCTTGCATGCGGATCATTAAACCTAAAATGAGTCAACACTAGAATACTGTGTATAAAAGCATTACACAATAAATGTGCTAAGAGAACACACTAATATGATAGTACCTCTCTACACAACACCGCCTTGGTGTAAAACCGTTGTCGTTTGACTACACGGTGCAGCACATGGAACTGTCGTGGCCGCTGTTCAAGTTGACACTAATGCGGCATCGAATCGTGAGCCAAGCTTGCGGCTTTGAAGCCTGTTCCCATATTGTTCTGTTTATAGGTGGCCAACAAAGTGATGTATTTATTTTTAGTAATATATCATGGTACTAAATTTTCTGCATAAGGTTTCTCATACTGATAATAAAAGTTTTTACCATGGCCAACCTAAGTGGTTGAACACTAGTACAAACACTATAATTATATAGTCAAGGATGAGGTCAGAAGTATATTCATTCAAACGCAACATTCTGAAGATATATTTGTACTTAATGTAAAACTTACCATCATACACTATCAACTTATCAAGTCCGCCTTATTTATAGTCTCACATCCTATACGCTTATAAAACATTAGCAAAACTATTCTATTTTAGACCTTCACACCCGCACCTCATTATATTCATTATTTTATGATTAGCGAATTGACATTGACTGTTCGTTTGTCGCTCTTGGTCAATTTTTGTACTACGCACCATAAGTTTGTTTATTTTACTCAACCATGTGGGAACCACATCATATAAAATATGGGATCGAAAAGCAATTCTGGTGTTGTGCTGGGACAGCCTAGCGACAAAAAAAAAAAGTAACAAAGCTTAACAACTATTTATATTTCGAAATATTCTATCACACAGTTAATGAAAAAATTGAAGTACATGATTACATAATACCAATACGCACTGTTTAAAACACAAGCGCGAGCTCTGCATACTAAGTGTAGTATACTAATGCTAAACGTAAAACCTACTTTCGGCCACCTTGAGCTCTGAAGCCATTAACCATTGGATTCGAGGATTTTCTGCTGTGAGTTACGCGGTCGAAGAAGGTTTGTATTCATTGACAAATCTTTTGAGGGAAACTCATCTCTGTGTGTCCGACGTGAGACATGGTATGCATACAGACACACTGTGCTGAGTTCAGTTCAATGTTTGTGATACGATCGATAAATTGGGGCAATTACTTTAAATTTGGTTTGAAGGTCTCGAAAGAACGAAACTGGAGATTGTCGACATTCAAAATCAAAACCGTGGAAGTGATTGTGTGAAATGAAAGCGAACCAAATTCAACAATTTCACTTGGAAAATTGGCACATTGTATACGTGCTATTGCGAGTCCGCGAGCTTACATGCCCAGACTAAGCGTCTTGTATACTAACCAAAGTGTGTGCGAGGCACAGGCAAGCACTCCTTCAGCCCATATAATATGCCATTTTGTCGTCCAACTTGTTTCGATCATGATTGAGCTTCCACGTGTGCGAGAACAAAGATATAGTTGCTGCGGATATAAACTTTTAGAACCAGTGTGATTTAAAAAATACACCCATCAAGCCCATTCAAATGTAGATAACAAGTTCATAGTCCACTATTCAGCTTTTACTTGTTGACAACGGATTCGACTGATGAGACATTCATCACATGGAGAATACAACTATGAATTTATAGGACTGGGAGCTGAATTTTAAGTGATGGAGGATTATCTGAGTTACTTGAAGCACATAAACGTTGCAACAGGAAAGAAGAAATACGACATTCTGAAGAGTCCAACCGACTAAATATTGAAAGAGTTAATTGAACTTATTCCACTAGAACCATTAGTTCTTGGAACAGTGCGTGACACTTGCGCGTCATTTTATATTTACTGTTCGATTGGTCGAGCGGTATTGTAGTATGACCATGATACTGTTTAGTTTCAAATCGGAGTTCAGCCTTGCATACCGAACTGTGTAACGAGGTACGTTTACATTAGTTGACGATTTACAGCCTGCAGCCCATTTTTTTTTTGCTATATAGTATTGTCGAATCAATATTTTCCTAATAAACTGCTAGTAGGAATAAATATTGTTTATTTCGCTATCAGAAACTACATGGAAGAATCAAAATAAGAATTTAGGACACGATTAGCAGAATCTGTCATACACGCAGAAAGATAATATTTGAAACTTTTTTTTTCTCGAGTCGAGTCCGAAGATGCATAGCTGACAATTTTTATACCGGTAACTCGATATATAAATATATAGTTTGTTTTTTTTCGGACTGACTCACGAATTTCTTGATGCACGACCCGATAAAATCCTTTGCTACGATTTTAGACATATTTAATCATGAATCTCAGGACACTCTGTCATGCAGAAAAATAACATTTGGAAGTGTTGTAATCTATAGCAGTAAGGAGCAAATTACCATAACGCAAAATGGTTCGAGTGAAGTCCGGAGATGCATAGCTGAAGATTTTAAAATGATATTTCGTTATATTAATTTACAGTTTGTTATTTTCAAACTGATTAATCCTTTGATATGTAAAATATAGAAGCCGAGGAGGAAAGTACCATTACACAAAACGGTTCGAGTGAAGTCCGGTGCATAGCTGAGAATTTTTAAGCCGGTAACTCGTTCTATTAAAACTGACTCAAGCATCACTCGCCCCGAGCTTCTCGCGGCAGTTCGACAATGGTTCGCGAACAAAATATCGATGGTAAAGCACACGGCGGAGTTGATGACAAGCACAGTAGCCAACAGCTGTTGCAACGATGGGGCTTGAAATCGGCCCAAAATTCAAACTGACCAAAAATAAATCCGCGCGAGTGAGAGAAAAACAACTGACGTTACCATTTACACAACTAGATAACTTTCAGTGATTATATACCGTATCTATGATACCCTCCATTTCGTGTTGAATGGTTTGCATAGCTACAAATAAAGACACTCGTAAAAGTCAGAAACCTGTATGCAGGTAAGGATTCGCCCTATCAGTGAGTCGAAAGGCATATAGTGTCGGCTGGTGTGTAAATTATTTATCTGGAGTTGTTCGAGAGAAAGGCACATCTGTCTAATGCCTACAAGTATCGCTGTTTAACGAGCTATATTTCAGTTGAATTCCCACATGTTAGCATGGAACTCACAGATCCATCAGAGATCAGCACGAAACTACCTCTGGTATAGGCGATACATTGGAAGCATAATAACTATGACATTTCACCGATATCAAAATCAGTAATGTCAGAATATACAAATACGAATATATCAGTGACTTGGCAAACACGTAGATTATATCTAGTAGTCATGATGCAACTCGATATAGAGGTCACTTGGAATTCAGAAGTCAATATTTCAACCACAAGCAGACATAAACATATTGAATACATATACCACATGTCAACGTGAAGAACCATTGTTGATCTCTAGAGAAGTATGCGGAAATATATTTTTATAGGTATAATATCCACGACATGGAAGGTCATCACGTCCTAATGTGGAAGGTAAAAAGGTTTTATATCAGATAGAAGTTTTATACACTGGTTTCGATCCTCAGGTTGAAGTCGATTGGAACTGAGATATGGGCTCCACCATACTTTAAGAATCAGTATACGCCACGAGCCGCGCTAATTTTCTTTTCACTGTTTCAAACTTTTGGTGACGGCTGTACTGACATTGCGAAGTCTCATTTTCGAAGTCACCGCTCTCGACTTCGACTCTGCGGCACAATTAATCTCGATTTGTCGCAGATGACTGGTTGCATAGGATACTGCAGGCTATCTTATAAAATTTAAGGTCCATGTGGTGCCTTTAAACAGCCAGCTCACAGATATTTCAATGCGTTTAAGAGCATCTACTCTGCAACCCAAATTAATTTCGTTGTCCAATACGGGCACAAACACCAACTGTTCGTATGTATCAACATTCCTCTAAGCCTAGTCCCCTTGCCCCCCCCCCCCACCCCCCCCAGAGGATGACTCCAGTCTTGCACATGATTTTCCAGGTAAAAGGAAAAAGGAAAAAGAAAAGTAAGGCCGAAATCTCGGGAAGTCAATTCAAAAGATTTATTGAGGTTTAAGAGGGGTGTATACGCGAAAGGAAGCTGGTACAACGCTCGTGCATCAACTCAGACCATCCCTCCGCGGCCATCACAGCGTATACGCTTTGCGTGCTGGACATCTCTCGGCATGATGGTGACATGCTTAGCGTGGATAGCTGCCAGATTAGAATCTTCAAACAGACCCACCAGGTATGCCTCACTCGCTTCCTAGAGGTTAAGGTGAGATTAGAAGTGATAGGTATCAGAACTGGGCTGACTTTCAGTAGCTTTTGAGGGAAGACTTCTGTGGACATATATCCTCCCCTGCTACCACGTACACATACAGACAAGAACATCCTCATTAATCTGAAAATCATATATACACAGGTATATATATATATAATATTTATATATAAATATATATATATATATATCCAAACGATATATATATATATAT